AGGAGAGGGTGTGGGGGCTCCCTCCCCAGACGTGTTCAAGGCCAGGCTGGATGAGGCCTTGAGCAACCTTGTCTAGTTGAAAGGTGTCCCTGCCCATGGCAGGGAGGTTGGATGAGATGATCTCTGGGGTCTTTTCCAACCCCAGCCATTCTATGATCCTGTGATACTGAAGATTTACCTTCAAAACAAAATCAAGATCATAAACACTTAAGAAGTCAGAAACAAAGACATTTCTAAACCAATGTGGTTGGTTCCAACAGCTTCTACCATGTGAAGGTTGAGGGTGCATTGTTTTTTAACATACATATCCCAGGTGGCAAGATTTCCAAAGCTGCTACTATTTTTTTAGGTTTTCTGGAATGGTATCAAATTCCTAAAGAGTTCAGCACATGGTTCTTTGTCACCAAGGTTCAGCATTACAGAAACATGAAAAGGAGAGCAGTAGCAGTGTTAACAAGAGTAAGCCCCACGAATGGGAAAAGCCATGTGTAACAGTTGTGACACCATGTTTCTTAGGGGTTCTCCTCCTGAGGCTGGTTGATATCTAAGTATCACCAAGCTGTGGTGGAAGCATCCATGTGCTGGGTGCTCTGAGCACCTCTGTGGCCTGCTGATTCTGCAGGACAGGGCAGGAGCAGAGCTCACATCACCCCTGTCATCACTGCTGCACTCTGCCTGTCTGCTGCTGGGAATTTAATCCCAGCTGGATGGTTGGTTGAAATTGTCCAACAGCATCAAAAGTTACTGGGACTTGGAAGACAACATCCCATCAGGTGAACATACAAAGGCAGCAAGGTCACAGCAGCCTCATTTGTTTATGAAATTAGGCTAAAAACTAGATATGGAAAAACTAGTAATGGCTCCACCCAGCAGTTCACAGAGTGAATTAACATCACCCTGATGAAGGGTCACCTGCAGCACCACGTCTGCATCCGGGTTTGGTGGAAGCAGTGCAAGGCCTGCTACCAATTTCTCTGGAAGTACAGTGGCAAGAATGAAGCTCTACAACTGAGGCCAAAATTTGGCTGGTGTCATTTTCCCTTTTGGATTAGTGAAGGCAGAATGTGCCTGCCACAGCCAGGAGAAGTGCTGCTTTGGAGGGCAGGGGGCCTGTGTCTGGGGGACAGCAGCAGAGCTCGGCGCAGGCAGCACAGCCAGGGGGCATCCATCCATCCCTTGGGCGGAGCCGCAGGTTTCGGAGGGGAGGGACGTGCGGGGTTCAGCGCTATGAGCAAGCAGCAGGTCTGGCCCCCGGGGCACAGTCCTCCCCGAGCTGTG